TAAGAGATATACCCCTCTATTACCGTGTAGAGAGTAAGAGATGTACCCCGGTATAACAGTGTAGAGAGTAAGAAATATACCCTGGTATAACTGGGTAGAGAGAAGGAGCTATATCACACTACGTTGTAACTGGGTCGATATCAGGTTGTTCCCGTTGATACAAGTACCACCCAAGGTATGCCTTCATGTATATGTGTTAGTACACATGCCAAAGAACGCTCTTTCATCTTTTCCGTAAGTTTGTCGATGATATGAAAGAAATGTCATCTATACATTCATGTACGTGTAAGGCGTAACACCGGAAGACTATGAACGGGACGTAGTAACAGTTACGCAAGACAATTCACCATGTTTACTCAGAAAAACGGAAGGGGCTATGCTCTCCGTGTGTGTATTTAAGGAGCACGGGCGCACGCAATCAGCGAGTGACATTTCACAGTGTTTATGTAGCTGTGCCGGTGAGCTGACTTTCATTACCATTGGCTGCTGTGGAGGAGAGTAGATATACCCACGTAAGAACACGGGAGGAGTCTATAGCAGTCAACTGGGAATCAAACCGGGAGCAAATCCGGAACTTTTAGATCGAATTTGGATCAAATATTATTGCAGCCCTGATATTTTTTTAATAAGTGAATTCCGGATTACCATTTTTTTTGTTATTCTTGATTCTGTTCCATAAATATCCAGGATGAACTGTGTTACTCTAGGAAGTTTTATATGTCTGCTGTATCTGACTATTATAGAGGTGTGTTGGGCCAATAACTACAGACACTTTAACTATCGCTTGCCGTCTTATCTACAGGTGCAACCTCTAAGGTAAGTCTGCTTACATATGTTATATTGAAACATCAATACATATATTTTCTGGTTACACTTTGTGCTTTTCATCGTCTGTTAACCCCGATTTTTCGTGTCGGTGACCCACTGTGGTCGGGCACCGCGGGATGGCCATCCGTCCGATGGGTCTTTATGTACACTGGGTATGTGCGTGTGTATGGAGGACTTCTAAGTAGATTAGCAAATATGTATAGAGAATTTAAATTTCTGTTTACAAACATATAAATTCGCACTTATCACACATATTTCAGTGATAACATTATGTCTGTGTATAGTTCCTAAACAAGATTTTGCATTAGGCCCTGTTATGATAAGGGCGCCCTGTTTAGTCGTGTATTTGTGTAAGACACTCAAGAGTATGTGTGTAGTATTAGCAACGTTTGACTCGCTGGGGGTCAGAACCACCTCATCCCAACACCTGTGCTTAATTCGTCTTTTGCTCTCCCGACGTATCTTGACCGGTCGATATATTTGACCCACGATTGTCCAAACAAACGTCTGAAGTCTTAAAGGATTTTTTGGTCGAGACCATTTTAAAGGGATTGAAACGTTAAACTCGGGCCCAAAGCACAACTTAACGGATTCATTCGTCCAAATCATGCTGAAGGCAACTTTTATAATATATTGAAATAACACGGGTGTACGATACTGGAACTTTGCTATTACGGTAAGATACAACGGCTCAAATTGTTTTCAACTACAATTGTAACATAGTTTTAACTATACAGCTCTTTTAATCGGTTTTGATACCTGGAGCTCGAGGAATGCAGCCGACTACATACGATACTCTGTATCTATAATACGGATTAGGTCTGACACCTCCACTAAACTGGCCCTTTTGTTACCCTCTGACACTTTACCCGATATCACTGATGCAAGGAAAATATTTATTTTAAAACCTTAAACACTTTAGCTCTTTGTTATTCTGAATTAATAGCGCCCATCTTTTATGCTGATACCCCTATTTACAGTTAAGTGTGTTGTTTATATAATGACCCGGCTGTTATTTACATATATCCGTACTATACCCCGACCCTTAACTGAATTTACACAACACTTGACGAGCACTGCACCGTGTATGCATGCCATCACGGCTGTATGACACTTATACCGATGTCTGCTCTAACATTGCTTGTTGGAATATCACATACTTGTATCTGTCCCACTAAAGGTATGTTGAAATGAATTAAAATATTTTGCCTTCAACTACTTCAACTATCAGAAATACCGGAAGTCGTCTGGAGAAAGGGGAGAGGGGTATTTAGAGTTTGATTTTTCTTGAATTTAGAAATATATGTATATTCAAGTTTGATAGAACCGTTTCCTTTGACTTCATCCAAGCACGTAATACTCGACACAGGGAGTGAATTCCGAGGTAGGAAGTCGATGTGAGGCTTCAAAGCACTTGAACGCATATCAATATAGAACGCCTTAGGATTGCGTGACTTACATTATAGTTAAAACCAAACGATTTTGGTAGTATTGGTCAAGAAATATTTCAAATCTGCCGGGGCCAACGAATCTAACTAGCTTACTGTCAAAAAGCATGTACAATTTTGGAGACAAAAATCTAGCATAGCCAAAGACAGTTGCTTCTGCCGCCATCTGTTTGACACTTGAGCGCTTGAATAATTGGCGTTACTTTTCAGGTACGTATGCACACCTCAAATCATTATGGCATAGTTACATGCTGGTTTCAATATGTTCGCTCTTCAAATCACATGTTCAAGCATTGTCCCTTTCCAACAAAAGATCACATTCTTACATAAATCACGTTAGGGTAGAAATTTTACTAAAACGTAACTTTATGTATTGCTACCAAAGTCTCCTTCGTTAATAGGGTCATGATACATAACTATTTGTACTTACAGTTTATATTCAACACGAAAGCGGGTATAGGGATGTGTTCGTATGTCGCGTACATATATGTCAATGAACTGAATTGTTCGTCCTTATATAACCTTCCTATTTATAGATTATTCCAAATAAAACTATCAATCGATCTTAATTATCAGGAAAATATAAAACGGAGATAATGTTTCACTTATGTTGAAGGTGAGCTCGAGCGATTTCTTAAATGTTTTGATCAAGTCAGACTTGTGTTTAATTACCTAATTATCAAATGTTTGACTTAAATTTACCCATAACCGTGTCAACTAGGCACACCTATTACCGAACTGCTCCCGAAAGGTCAACTAGTTACATTAAGTGCCGACCGGGGAAGAGAGTGTCAATCAGTTTTAATAAGTGCCGACTGGCCGCAAAATGGCAACCGCCTCAAGGAGTGACGACCAGTTGCACCAAATGCCGACCGGCTCCTAGTGTCGACTAGTGGCACTAACTGCCGACTGGCCCGTGGAGTGTCGACCGACCAATTGCATTAAGTACCGACCTGAGTGTCACATACAGTTGCATTTTTTGCCGACCGGCCCCGGTCCTGGACTTTGTTCTTATTTTAGTTTAGTACAAAATACACGGTGCACTGACTTTTGACATAGGGGATTCCTGTACGCACAGTTAAAGGAACTCAATACTGTCTGTAGATTGTTGATAACAGGTACTATAATACGACCGTCTCGTGTAGGGCATGTTAATGTAATTGGTGACACCATTATAATAGATCCGGTAAAGGCAGCTATAACTACATTACATATACATAATTACATTACAGTGTAGATAAGATTATTCAGCGACATAAATCCCTGATTTTTGTTCATCATGTCAAAACATAATACATGTGCATATTATGCATTACCTATAGGTTGTATTACTTGATTCTGAACTACAAAACCTTTAATATGACTATTTAAAACCTGTGACGTAAAATTATCTTGAAGTACCGATTTGGAAAAATGTCATAATCTTTTGAAGATATTTTTAACTGTATACAAATTGAGATTTTACAAGGAATGCATAATTGCATTTGTAGAATAGCGTTCTGCTATCGAACCTGTCAGAGTGTGCTTCACGAACCTGATTCGTTTCATTGATTGTAAGAAATAAAGGCCCGAGAGCCCTCTGATGACGTGGTACGGTGGTTACTAATGTTAAGTGATACAATTATAATAAAGATATATATTTACATGTATGAAGGCTTTTCGCATGTTTACTTCATCATTTAAGTACAGATATTCTTAGTGCATTATAGGTGTATTGTTTGTATTTACCTTATTACGTCCCTTTAATATTAAACAACCGTCTAATTCTGACATATCAGTTGATAAAAAAAATGCCGTATGCATTGTGAATTGTTTGCATGACAACGGGACGACTCATATGTAGACTAAGGTATTTTAAGGAAACCACAACAAGGCAGTGTATTATACTGTATCTGAAGTGTGTTATAGTACCCCGGAACTCTCCACCACTCGACCGTACAATGAGGAATACAGCCCCCCTTAAATGTATATGGTTTAGGTATATAGGCCTCTTGACATGCGGCCATGAGGACCTATGCAAGTCAAGTGACCTAGTTATCGATAAAAGTGTCAGATGTCTAAACAAATGTTTATCTACGTATTTGTATATATTTAACCTAAAGTTTAAAAATCACATTTGTCTTAATTAAATTCAGAAACTGAACTTTTAGAATGTGTTTTGTTTGTGGCATTGCATGACATGTCAGACGATTTTCACGCTCACTAGCGTTCGAATTAAAAAGTACGGGATTTTGAATCTATTCAGCAAAACCCAACGCTATAACGCTTACCAAGCTGAATACTACTTGTCTGTAAATGTCAGAGAAAAAAGAATTAAAAAAAACCCAAGAAAAATGAGGCGTCATACATGTAGTCTTAAATATCTTTATTACTCATAGGTCGAATTTGGATATATGCAGAATAAAAGCAAAACTCCGTTCTGATTTTAAAATCCATCTCTGAAATATTTTCACATTCAACTGTAGAACTTATTTTAATGCTTCTTCTTCTTTTTCTTCATCTTCTTCTTCTTCTCTGAAGCCTTTTGGCTCACTCTTTATTTGACCTATTTGTTCCTACCACCAAGCATTCGTATTATCTCACCACACCATTTCTATTTAAGTAAAATGTAATGTCACCGGGTGCAAATTAAGTTATTTTTTTATTAGGGTATCACTAAAACATATATTTATTTTGCAGAAATTCGCCGTTCGTCTGTCAACATGGATAACATAAACTAACTATTCCTTACAGCGAGGATTCATACCTACCGTTAAATACAGTGTTTATATGAACGCAATGCCAGGATTATTTTAAGAAAGGCCTGCTCCCGTATGTTCACATGTTGTCTATAAAAACTAGGACTAAACGTCAATCTTCATCTTACACACTCTCTTTTAATGACACTTACGATTTGTTAGGTAAACAATTTTTCTGTTTTCTCTTTCCCAAAATTTGATATGACATAATTTATTTCCCGACCGTCTTAAAGTAAATGCGGATTTCCCTATCGAGATAAACCAATTCCATTCAGTAATTCCCTAACAATGTCTGCCTGTATGCGTTTCCCGCTAGGCCAAGTCTGGTTAGTTTCAGTAGATGTCGAATTGTATGATATGCAACTCCTTCTTATGATTCCAAGCAAACATTGCGATTAACGTAATTTGCTGACGAGTTATCGTTTTCGTGATGTCAAGCTTCCCATCCTAGATCTCATAACAGTAAGTAAAGGGATACAGAAATGATTCAGAGGCTGCAGGCCTCGAAAGCTGACACAAGTATTCAGCGATAGCCAAGACGTGAGTGAAACCAAATCTAATTAACTTTCTTCTAATTCCTCGTATATTTGGTTCAATTCGAGAGATTACAATGGGAATCTGGCCGAATCCTATCTACACACTACCCCCTCCCCTCCACCCTCCCTCTCCACCCCCTCCCCTTCCATCTCCCCAGTCGTTTTGAGGTTCAAAGGAAGAGAAACTCGGCTAATCCGAGGGATTCATGCATGCATATATGTGGAAAAAAATTGGGACAAGAAGGTATTTAACTAGAATTGTAACA